GAGCCTATCAAAGTATGGCGACCTTGATTTTTAACCAAGTGCTTTGTGGGCCATAATTTACTTTCCCCTATAAAAATCCATCCTCTTCTAACAATGGGATCCTTCATGTGTCTCTTCTTTCTCTATGAGCCTTCAGCCAAGTTTTATATGCGTCACATGCAAGTTCTGTTTACTTTACCTTTACTTAAAAATGATGAAGATCACAGTTCAATTCAATAATGTTTGAATAACTTTAACAGATGTTATTGGAAGGGCTCTCTGACTGTCTGTCTGTCTGTCTGTCTGTCTGTCTGTCTGTCTGACTGTCTTATATGACTTAGACAACATTTATTGTCATTTTGTACACACACAGTGTATACAAATCGAAATTTCGTTTAGTACAGCTCGCATGACATTTCCATTCCATAAAGTGCAGCAGTGATCAAATGTAAACAGTGTGGGAGAAAAAAAATGTGGTGCAAAAAAACACAGTGATATGGAAGTTCAGAGCATTAATATATTTGATGCAAATATGCAGTATATTTGGTTTGGTGTTATCAGTGTGATGCAGGTGGGCTCTCTTCATCTTCCGCAGGAAGTACAAGCCCATTTGTGCTTTCGATTCAGCAATGTCCTTCAAGAATCACTCTAAGCAATTAGGAACTATTACTTCCAACTAGTGTTGCGCCAATGCCATTTTTTTTAGCCCTGATACCTGGCTGTGCATTATCAGCCCATACCAATACCATACCGACACCATCTGTCTGAAATAATGTGTGTATATATGAAGAACTGGAGACTACTTGGATGTAAAATAATTGCCATTATGGCTTCATGTCAAGCTGCTGCCTTCCTTTGTGAAGCAGGAAAAAGACTAAAACAAAGTGAATCCAGTAGAATTTTTATTGCCTACCTGGAATGGCTGACAATAGTTGAAGAAACTTTTGACTCTCTAAATGGTATCAGTGCCCTATTTGTTGGTACTCACCGATAACGATACCAACATTTAAGTGCTGGATCGGGGCCTATGGTGGACGGGAGGTGCAAACCAACAATAAAAAATGTAAAAAACTTTTACAAGTTCCAAAACAAATTATCATTTCAGAAACAAATTTACATAAAAAATAATATATAATAATAAATAAAAATAAACAAAACACTTCTAAAATTTCAAAACAAAGAGCATTTTAAGAAAACAAATTAAAAACCTTGAAAACACTTTTACAAGTACCAAAACAAATTATCATTTTAAATTAAACCGGAAAGGGTGAGTACTAACTCCGAGGCTGAACTTGTCTTGTGTGAAATTCTGTTTCTGCTCCCCCTGTGTCTAGAGCGTGCATTGCAGCCAGAGAGGGATCATTTCATTCTCTTTCAATTATGGCAAATGAAGAGTAAGTATGATCAAATCCACAGGATTTGTTGTTTATGAAGAGAAGAATAAGCACAGTTAAAGACTTGCAGGTACATGAATTTCTTCCCATGTTATGGAGGAGGAACAGATTATTTCAGGCAGCTGAAACATACATTCTCTCATCTCATCACATATCTTTGGGAAATAAAGAGCAACTGTTTCCAATTTCTCTAAAACTGATATGTGTGATATGTTAAACTAGAAAAATCCTTAATCAAGCAATCTGTCATGTTTTACATTAGAAGTGGATTAACCAGAAAGTCTACCCTCTCATCTTCGCAGGACGTCTTAATTTGTGTGCCCTGCTATCAGTCAGTTTCCATCGTCTTATATCAGCAATTTAAAAATTAAAAATACACTACGTGTTTAAAAAATCTGTGTTTGGAGACTGACGTTTATTTCTGTCAGGCTGAAGGGACAAAAGTTGGAGAAATACAGATTCTGTCGGCGTTTAAGAAAAACCAACCCAAAACAGCTTAAGAAGACCTTGTTAATGTATTTATTTGACAAATTTGTAAAAAGAGCAACCGATTAAACTTAATGTTACAAAGTTGACATGATTATATGAGCTGTTTTCCCGAGACATGATCAGGTGTCATCTAAAGCTCTGACCCACATGCAGAAGACCAAACAGAGAGACGAGGGAAAAGTTTAACAGGTTTTATTTAGAGTAGGTTGAGAGTCCAGTGCTCCTCTGAACACTGGCGAACCGGGACTGAAAAGTAAAGGGGAAGATTCTGCTGTTGGTTCAGGCTCAGTGGGAAATTTGTGTTTTCGATTTAAAGAGGGGAATAAAGGCAACCAGACTCACGTTTCCAGAAAAAGTTGTCTTTCGATGAATCCAGTCGGTGTGGGTTGTTCCAGTGAATGACTTGCTCGTTGGAGGGCGGACAGGGTTTACCCAGGTTGCGGTGTTTCCTTGAGGAACGGAGGCGGTGACTGCCACTTAGTTTTCCTGCGGTACTTGAACGGTTTCTTGTGGAGATGAATCCCCTGCTCAGAGAGACGCCCAAACAATCCTTGGGGGGAAAAGTTGATCCAAACCACAAACTTGAATCCTCAGCTCCGTTTGATGCTCAGAGACTCCTTCCAGGGGGGAGAAGGTCCAAAACATCCACTTTGCAGGATGACTTCCTGCTGAGAGGCAAAGACAAAAACAGCAAGGTTAAACTCAGGTAGACAAAAACTCAGATTGACTCAGTAAAACTCAGCTTAGCTAGAGTACCCCAAACTGGCAAACACTCTGGCTTCGAGGTAGTGGCAGTCAGCAGCTTAAGAGTCCTCCGGTAATGAGGTAACCATCATCAGGTGTGTGAGGAGGCCAGCGAGAACCAGGCGCCGCCAGGTGGTGGAGGAAAACAAACAAAAGCACAACCCACACAACCTGGATTCCTAACATCAGCAGCACCTTGAAAATGGTCAGATCCGCCTCTCTGGCTGCAATGCGCGCTCCCGACACTAGGGGAACAGTAACAGAGACCGGTTCAGCCTCGAAGTTATTACCCACCCTTTTTTGGGACTTGTAAAAGTGTTTTGAATGTTTTTTATTTGTTTTCTTAAAATGCTATTTGTTTTGAAATTTTAGAAGTGTTTTGTTTATTTTAATTTTTTTAGAAATGTAAATTTGTTTCCTGAAGTGATATTTTTTTTGGAACTTGTAAAAGTTTTTTAGATTTTGTAATGTTGGTTTGCAGCTCCCGGCCACCGTAGGGGCCCCGCCTGATACTGGTGTCTCCATCAGCGCAGCACTACTTCCAACTAAGGAATATTTTCAAATAATATTTTCAAATGGTTAGACTGTTGCACCAGTCTTTTTACTTGTTTGAGCAAGAAGGAGCTTTACAGTTTCCGGGTTTTCCAGAACTCTGCTGTAAGGCTTTTAGCTCACATTAACAACAGAGAACACACTACACCTCAACTCTGCTACTAACTCTCAACTACAAATACAAGGACTTTGTACTTGTATTTGTAGTTGAGAAAGATGTGTCTGAGTATCAATACTTTTACTGAAGGACTAGTTGAGTACTTCATCCACCACTCTTCATCTTTATGTCAGTAGGGATAATATTTTATAGATCCTGGTGCCGTTTAGTGCTCTGCTGGTCAACACAATGTAGCTCTAAGGTCATTATAGCAAGAATCAAACCAGAAGTGTTTCAACACCTGGTAAGTTTGCTTTTAGAGCAAAGCAGCTGACTGTTCAAATAATTCATACCGAGCAGCTTGAATCCAAAGCCCCATCACTTTTAAGGCTTTTCTAACATTCAAGATGAAAACCAAAACACTTTTCTTTATTTTCTTTCTTTCTGCAGACATAATTAAAGCTGGAAACAACCTATAAAACGAGATCCTTCTAATCTCACAATCAGCTGTAAAGATAAAAACAATTTCCTCACATGGAAACAGCTTTGCAGCCATTAAGGTAGCCTCAGCAGTCCTAATGGGCTTTGTGAATGGCGGTAGTTTCTGTTTACTGTTGAGCCCCAGCTAAAGCATGACGCCTCCTATAATTCTCATGATAATTGGGTTAATACCTGTCATTATGTCCACTATTACCAGAGTAGTAAATAGAGGAGAGGTAGAAATTATTGTTTGCTTACTGAGAAACATGTATATCAGCAGGAAGAAGGGGAGCTTTATATCTGCTTAAAGAGGAGCAGAGGCAACCTTTCTGGCTATGGACACACGGGTTAATCTGCTTTATCTGGCCTTTGTGTGTCTTCAATAGACATTGCTCCTTTATGTGTTGCTTTTTATTTGCATCAATTTAAAGCAATAACATTAATGCATCTTTAAACTACTGCAGACTGATTATGTACCAGCACAGCGCAGACTGTGGATAAGTGCGTCTTACCCAGCAGGTGCACCTGTGAGAATTTCCCTGCTCCTCTTCCCTTTTCTGGACCTGTTACTCTAGGGTCAGCTAAAAATGGAAAGGCCATGCTATGATGCACACACACACGTAGCTTTACAATAAAACACTCTAACAGATCCACACAGGTCGGATTACACACCAACCCTTTTAGTTTACAGTGAGAGTTATGTAAACTCAGCTGCTCCTTTGGCTCACAACATCTTGCCCCCCCCTTAAACGTGTCCTTTTGTATGTGTGTGTGTGTGTGTTCTTGTTTATATATTTAGGACAGTCTTTTTGTGTTTTCACTCACCTTGTGGGGACCAGAGGCTCAGTTTAGAGGCATATTGTGGATTAAAATTAGGTTGAGGTTAGGATGAGGAATAAACTGGTAATGGTTAGGGTAAAAGTCAGGTTTAGAATGTACTAATGTGGATAGAGACAGAAACTTGTGTGAACATTGATTTTTCATATTAAACGGCTAGAGGAATTAGACAGCACCGGATAGTCAGCCTTTTTCCTTTTAGCTAAATCTGTCATGGTTTGTAAAACAATTACACACCAGTAAAAATAGTCTTTAGTCCTAAAGTCCTAAAACATCAACAAGGTTTATACTTTAAGCCCCTATCACACTGTGACAATGTGACGGTTTTTACAAGGTTAATTATTTTAGTTTTATTTTTTTTTAACAGGGTATTTGTCACTTTTTAGCGGTGCCAGTCAGGTATCCCTTCTGACAAGTATAAATATTTATATATTTTTAAACCAGTCACACAAGGACCATACACTTTTGTGTGTAGACCCTTACAAATAAAGAACGAAAACTCTTCACAAATAGACAACAAAAAATTAGGCTTAACAGTCCTTGTATTTCAAAGAGAAAAATAAATATATAGCCATCAAAAAATAATCACAAAATTCTTCTCCAAAAAATAAATGTCCATTATAATCCAAGTTAGAATGGCTCCAATATAAATTGCCCCACAGCAAGAGCTGTGAATAAACAAGAGAAAAAAAAACATAAGAGCCTTTACACATCAAAAGTCGTACAATTGCATAAAAACAACACAAACAAACATACATAGAATGGACTTACAGGTCAGATGAGAAAATAATCTTGCTCAGAGGCAGGAACTGGATCAGGTTTTCTGTTGTTGGTTTCACTAGATGAATGTATTTAAAATTTATATTATTTTTTGTAACGGGGCAAAATTATTAATTTATATTTACAGCAAGTGGGCTGCTCAGTGGCGCAGTGGGTAAGCAAGAAGGTTCTGGGTTCAAGTCCTGGCCCAGGGTCTTTCTGCATGGAGTTTGCATGTTCTCCCTGGGCATGCGTGGGTTCTCTCCGGGTACTCCGGCTTCCTGCCACAGTCCAGAAACATGACTGTTAGGTTAATTGGCTTCTCTAAACTGTCCTTAGGTGTGAGTGTGTGTGTGTGATTGGTTGTTTGTCCTGTGTGTCTCTGTGTTGCCCTGCCGGTGTACCCTGCCTCTCGCCCATTGACTGCTGGAGATAGGCACCAGCACCCCTCGCGACCCCAACTGGGACAAGCGTGTAAGATAATGGATGGATGGATGGATTTACAGTAAGTATAGCACTTACGGAGGATCTTTAACTGTGACGTAACCAGCTTCCGGGTAATTGTGAGCACGTTTGGTTTTCTCCTTTTCCTTAATGATCGTTGGGATCCAGAACAGAGGTAAAATACTGAAAGCACGAGGGATTAAACGGCCTCGGACAGACTTTGTTACTGGTCGACAGAACGGAATATGCAGACGTAGTAGCAGCAGCTGTTTCTGTTACGCTGTCTGCTGAGACACTGACATTTTCAAACTGGAGCTAGGAGTCAGATTGAACAGCGGACCAATCAGGTAAGTGCATGTGTTCAATGGGCGTAAAGAAAGGCGTGTCTTGAGCTGTGAAGAAGCAGGTGGATTTATGAATAACGGTGCAGCCAGCTCTGTGCAACAAGCAGGTTGTCACAATGATTTAGCCAGCGTGTGCCTGACGTACGAAAAATCTGGGAAAAACGCTGACGTACATTGAAGAAGTCCATTTAATTCAGTTTATTTCTATAGCACCAATTCACAACACATGTCATCTCAAAGCACCGTACAATTCAACCAGATCATCCAGTCAAACTGATTCAAAGTTTTCCACTAAGGAAGACCAGCTGATTGCATCGACTCATTGACTCTTCAGCAATCCCTCACACTAAGCATGCTTGTAGCGACAGTGGAGAGGAAAAACTCCCTTTGAACAGGAAGAAACCTCCAGCAGAACCAGGCTCAGTGTGAGCGGCCATCTGCTGAGGCCCACTGGGGTTCAAGGAGACAGAAGCAGACATAGAAAAAGAAGCATAGATACTATAAAGTCCATTATATAATCTCTACTCTATATAGTGATGGAGGGATTTAGGGGTTAGAGCAGACGTTCAGACACAGTAAGCTTGTATGATCTATCATGCTGAGTTAGCATTGATGATGTCAACTAGGGGTGTAAATCACATCCATCATGGTGATTCGATTCAGTATCGATTTCCAGACCCAACGATTATTTTCGATACTCAAGAATACGCCACGATATGATTCGATTCGATGAATTGGTTCCTTGTTTTTTTTTAACCTTACAGGCTAGACAATGTTTTAAATTTGAAATAAATCAATGAAAGCTGTAATATCGTTATGCATTTTATTTGAAAATCAACTAACAGAAGTAGAAAAGTTGCATATAAAAGTACTGCACATAATCAGTGCAATGAGTGCAATGCAATACCCCGGCTCCAGACACCCCCCCCCCACCCCCATAACCCTACCACCCCCCACCACCACCCCCACCCCCCTCCACAGACGCTCCGCTGCACCTCCCCCAAATTGTAGCTGACCACAGACAGGAGGCCGGCTTGTTTTGTTTTTATGAGCGAAATTGCGGAAAACAACTCATGAAGTTTGACCAGCTAGAAGAGCGAGGTGCGCGAGAACGCTGGGACCCTTTTTCCACCTGGATCTCTGCTATTTTGGGCCCTCATGTCCTTCTGTTGTCAGAATAAACTCGCCCCCACTTCCTCACCGCCTCATCTATATCTAGACCCACAGCGTATAGCGCTGTTGCTTACTGCAACAAACTGCTGTAAGTGTATAACCAGGAAGCGAGGTAGGAGGGCAAAATAGGTTTAGCGCCACCGCAGCACGGGAGGGAGAATTACACCCAGGAGCAAATGGATAAAAAAATCATGAATCGATTCTCTTGGGGACGTATCGATGCATCGGATCGTCGGCTCTTGGATCGATGCATCGATACAAAACGATTATTATTTACACCCCTAGTGTCAACGTTGCAATAGAAATCAGGGAAGTAAACAAAGGACAGCAACAAGGCAGCCAGGGCGTAGTCAGTGTGCTTTATTGTTTCTCTCTATGATCTGTCTGAATCCCTCTCCCTAGGGCTGCTCCATGTTTATCGAATGTAAACAGAGTTGCCTCTGCTTCTTGGATCAGAAGTGACTGGCGCATTGTTTTTACATCCATATGTTGCGTTCAATGGTATCACATAAATTACACCAGTTTTAATGTGGCTCGCTTGCCAAGTCGTTTGACCCGGGTAGACACCCATCAGTGAGCTGTTCCCACTGCCACTAAAAGCAGATTGTTTAAACAGGTTTTTCCAGCCAGTGGGAAAGGGGTGTGAGACAGTTGATCTTGGTGGCCTTCCACCAGGCAAAGGGGTCATGAATGAATGAATGAATGAATGAATGAATGAATGAATGAATGAATGAATGAATGAATGAATGAATGAATGAATGAATAGGAAATCATTTCAGACAATTTGATAATCAACAATAAAAGAATCAACCAAACACAGAAAAGACACTGGTTAACATCAACCAAACCAAACACCAATTTCCAAACTAACTAAAGCCACCTGAATATAAATAGAAACAATCTGTCAGTATAAACAGCCAGAGAAGTAACTGATTAATATAAATTGTCTGAAAGGGAATATGAAGAACTAAATGTCACGGTCTTGGTTCTTTTATGTTTTACTTTGCTCCATGTTTTCTAGTTTTATTGGTTTAATTACTATTTTGTTGTATTTTCTGGATATATTTGAGTTCTTAGGCTTTTTTGTTGCCCTCTGATGCCCTCTTGTGTTGGTGTCCTTTTCCCTCTTAGACCGCTCTCTTCACACCTGCTTCCAATCTGCTTGTTAGTCCTCTCTTTGTTCAGTCTACCATAAATACTCTCCTTGTGCAGTTCCTCAGTGCTGGTTCCTCATCTTACATCGTCTTACTTCTTCTTTCCTCGTCTAACTCTGGCTTCTTGTGATTGTTTTCCCTTGATGTCTCCATGGTTCTGCTTTGTTTTACTTTTTAAGTTGGACTTTTGGATTTCTACCTCTCTTACCTGTGTTAATTCATTAAAAACTGCTGAACTCTGCCTCCTCACCTTTGCATTTGGGTGCTCAAAAACCCTCAAAAACCACAACCAAACCTTGACACTAAAACTTATTTTTCATACCCCCTCTTCCTCTATTTGCGCTTAAATTAACTTTCTTGCATCACATTTTTTTTTCACCTTTTTGTCAAAGTACTTTAAGGCCTTGGAATATTTTCAGTACAATACCTCTTCTCCTACGGCATTAAAAACAACCAATAGTAATAAAGTGTGTAATTAGAAATAAAAAAAAACGTGCCTGCTATACAGCTATTACTAACCTGTGTTTAAGTCTGTGGCCACCGAATCCCCTCAGGAAAAGAGTCTGTGTTCGCTGGCCGAATCAAGACTATCTTGCCTATGATCCAAAAGGAGCTGAATGTAGTGACTGTCTTTTCCTGCGTTTCAAACCAGATTGAACAAAGTGTTTTGTGAACCTGCCTGCTGAAGCAGATGAGAAACTATCCAGTTTCCATCTACCTGTAGAGCAGCCGGGCCCAACTGCTGTTCTGCCAAGGAGCAGCATAAGCCGCCGGTTCTGCTGCTACCTTGATCCAGAAAGCTCTTATCATGAGCCTCTGCTGCAGCCAATTGGCAAAGCTCACCATCTATCTAAGCCAATCACTGTCTGGGACATCCTCTCTTCCTGCTAAATGGCCTCGCTACTCCACTCCCCCAATGCAAAAACGATCTAGAAATAAGTAAAAATTTCTAAAACGGAGTTTATTCACCCTTAATTTGAGCAGGTAAATGAGATAGTTTGCCAATGGAATGAGTAATTTTACTCTTAAAATAAGATAATTAGATAATATGCACTTGAAATAAGACGATGCAATTGTGTTTTCTTATTTTAAGTCTAAATTGTCTTGTTCCATTGGCAAAATGTCTCTCTTACCTCCTCAATTCAAGAACAAATGCACTTATTTTAAGAAAAAATGACTTATCTAGATTCAGATTTTTTGCAGTGTTTATCTTACTGGATTCCCTGCATTTCCCCTCATTCTCCAGCCTCAATTAAACCATGAGACTCCGGGGGGGGGGACTCTAGCCTAAAACTACCTGCATGGGTCTGAGTGCGAAAGACGTTTCTTGTCAATAAAAGTCTCTAATTGCTGCAATTTTAAATCACATGTAAAAGTTCAGTTCATTCCCCCGAATCAGAATATTTTTAATTTGCACCACACACATTCATGATAAATAAGTTGTGTTGTCCTTTAAATATAATTATTCAGGGCAGCAGTTATTCTGATAGGTCTAACTATAATTTTTTTGTTTTGACAGTATTCCTTGTACTAATCTCCCCTCTTTTCCTACCCTGCTGCTATTATTCCACTTGAGGGCTCAGCTTAGTCTATTCACTCATGCATGAGAACGACAGTTTGACTGATACCCGGGCTTCTGGAAGCAGCGCAACAGGTACACACAACGTTTCAGACTCAATGCTTGGTCAGTTCTGCATGTAATAAGAAGAATGTAGTGTTGAGAGGGCAAGGCGCACAGCAAACTGGTTCCTAATGACATCTGTGTAACCTTGTATTTTTATTTTACCCAAACTAAACCCCAAACATGACTGAGCATAAAATACAGTAAAGTGTCTATACATCCATTAAGAAACACAGGAATATTTAAACAGAACTAATGACGACCAGATCTACTACCTGAAGGTATAAAATAAAGTCACTAAAACAGTAAGATCACTTCGCTAATATGAGATTTAGTTTGTTTAACATTCCACATGCAATTTGTAGCTAAAAAATATTTTTAAAGCACAATGAAAAACCAGGCCCACAGGTCCTTATTAGGGTTCTATTGTTATTTTATGTTTATATATTTTATCTGTTTGCTCTGTGAGAAGAAAATTCCCCGTTAACTGTTTTGGAAACTGTGACGCCAAAGATTTTCTTTGAAATTTTATCGAATGTTTTCCATGACCTTTTTTAGACGTAGTACTGATACGGTGCAACTGTTATGCTGCATTCACATCAAAGACGTAATGAGCGCCAAAAACGACCAAACGCTACAATTTGGACGTTGGATCATAATGTGTTCAAGTTGATTTGATGCTTCTGGTCGTTTATCTGCTCTGTTCTGTAGCTCCAAGCTAAAGAGCAGCTTATTTTCTTTATGAGTCGGTAAAATAGTTTTGACCCATTTTTAATTTAATGTCTTTTATTATATTAAGCTAGTTCAGCACTTTTTTCAGTTGTAG